TCTAAAGGAAAGGGAAAATTATTATTACAACGTCTTTTGTAATTGTCATTACAATGCCATAACCTCATAGTATATGTGACCCCAATTTTGACACATAGTTAAATGTCTGTATGGGGGACTTAAAACGAGGTGGGTGTTCAATACGGAGGTAGATGTCCTACAAGTGTTTACAAGGAGAGAAGAAGAAAAACAAATACCTAGAAATTCATCTTCCCACTCAGATGCCTGACCTCAAGATGGAAACACCCAGGGCACAGAAGAGTGTAAGGGGTCCCAGCAGAGTTTAGAGAAACATTTCTTCTTAGTCTGTGAAGGAGAGCCCAAGGCTTCAAGCTTGTGTCCTTGGCTTCCAGGCATCTTCCCATGGGAGTTTCATAATATTACAACTTTTTAAAGCCAAAAGATGAGGAAGAAAGTTATATATTTTTAGTTATTTTTTCTTATCTTTGTAATGATCTCCCTGAGGAGGGGAATGTAAATTCATGATGCCCTTCAAGTGCAAAATTTGACATTTATTGTAATTGAGGAATCCCATTTGTCTTACATCCAATGCCATTTCCTATAGAAATGTGAAAGTTTGCTCCAAGACAAGAAGCATAGAAAATCTCATAGATCATCATAGAAGATCTCACAGATGTGCTGTCACCCCTCCCGTGCTACCAGAATATGCTTGTACAGAGGGCTAATCAGACCCTATAGCATGTCTTTTAACCTGAGGGCTGTGCGAACCATTCTGACCTGACAGGAGTGGGCCATCACTTAAAGCTGCCCTTTTTCTTTTTATACCTTTCAGGGAAGAAAAAACAAATCTAGTGTTGAAGTGAGAATGTGTTTGCATATATTTAAAATTATTCGTGGCTGGGAAGCAAACGAAAAGAACAACGTACAGGAGGAAAACTTGTATTTCTTTTTGTTTTTCAAGAGTGTAGACTATGGAATTCTTATGCCTATAATTCCTCCTTTGTTCATTTTTCTTTGCTGGTTCTTTCTCAGCAATTCCATCCTCTAAATTTTGCAAAGAATTGGGCCTCAATGCATTGGGCCTCGGTGCTCTTTTATCTTTTCTCCTTTCCTCACTTCCTCCCTCAGTGTTTCTTGGCTTGAAACACCTTTAAGCTAACAATTCCCAAATTTATGTTTCCATCCCAGATCTCTTTTCTCAATGCCAACTGCCCAACTAACATCCCCACTTGGATATCTGACTGGCATTGCAACTTAACCCTTCCAAAATGGAACACCTGGTTTCCCTCTTCAACTCAGGTTTTTGCTCATGTCAGTAACTCTGTATCTACATTCTTTTTGTTATTCAGACCAACAATTTTGGGGTTATCTTAACTTCTTTCTCTTTTACTCTATATCTACTTCATCAGAAAATTCAACTGGTTGAATTTACAGAATTGTCCCTTTATCTCCAATAACTTTATCTAAGCCAAACATCATTTCTAGGCTGGAAGTAGTCTCCATGGCAACCATCTGTAGGTAGTCTTCCTGTTTTTGTCCCTTTAACTGTCTAATCTGCATACACAGAAACCAGATGGATGATATTAAAACTCACTCAGAGTAAAAGTTGAAGGCTTTAACCTTCTCCACAAGACTATATTACACTACCCATTACTTCTTTTTCCCATAACCTCTCTGATTTCATCTTTGACCATTGTGTTCATTGCTACATTCTTGGTATCTGGAACAGAGCCTGCTGCATAATAGTTGCCTATAAGTATTGGTGGAATGCATAAATTCCTCACTCAAAATAGAAAGTGATAAACTAAACATGGAATGCTTAAACTCATAAAGTCATTTAGAAGTAAGAACTGCTCCTAAGGATCATCTGATTTGCTTCTTCATTTTACAAGTTAAAAACTGAATCTTTGAAAGCTTAAGTGATTTGCCCAAGGTCACATGGTTAGTCAATAGAGACAATCTGCTCCTGTCCCTCATTAATTCCTTTCTCAAAAACTTTGGTCCTTATTTAGACTTTGAGCTATTATTTTTCAAACTTTCCTTCATTCCTATATTCAGCATTCTGATTTTCCCACATGATTTTAGCAGTTTAGCATGGTGATTAACAACACATTCTAGAGCAGTGGTTCTCAACCTTCTGGCCCTTTAAATACAGTTCCTCATGTTGTGACCCAACCATAAAATTAGTTTCATTGCTACTTCATAACTGTAATGTTGCTACTGTTATGAATCATAATGTAAATATCTGATATGCAGGATGGTCTTAGGCGACCCCTGTGAAAGGGT